ACATACGCACTCATTACGCCACTACGATTCTGAATGGAAGTCGAGTGCAGGGGCGCATCCCTCAGACGGGATTGATTAGCGCCAAAAACTTTATCCTTTTAATACTATTCAGTTACAGCCATCGCTCCCTTTCGTTCTGGGGTGAGAAACGCATGCACCGTTCCAGTAAATCGCCTCCATTCCCTTCACTTGCGGTGTCTTCTGCCATAAACTTAACTTCGAAAAGAAGAGACCTTGACTTTACTATGTTCCTCCATCTTTTCATGGGACCCCAATTACCGAGCTAGCGTTCGCAACCTTTGTATTACTGGTCACTATTGACTAGTATTTATTATGACTGTTTTGGGGTTGGACCCAATCCGAGACAACCTTCATCGATGCCCTCAACTGCCTTGATCAAATACTTTTAAAGGCGTTCTTGGTGGAAGGTCGCAGACGAGCAGAAAAATAGCGATATTGCCAACTACCTTTTTCCGAAGTGTTAAATGTCTAAACGATAATCTCCAAAAAGAGGGCCGTTTCTTAGGGCAGGGCCAAATGATCATGCTTCTTCGACGACGATGGTCGATAGTAGCAGTGAATGAGTGATGATTTTTGCAGGAACCTTACCAAATTCATGTTCCCGCTAGAATTCGATTCCTTGTAATCGCGCAGATGATTGGTGAACAGAACATTGCCTATTTAGAATCTGTTCGAATTTGGGCTGAGATTCATGCAGGCCCTAACATCCCCTATACAATGACCACCTTCTTACTCCATGAAACACTGGATACGGCTGGCCTGGTTCCATAATCTTCGTGCTTGCATTGTTCTGTCGAAATGATATCTTTAAGGGCGGCATTGTAATCTCAAACCCTCCACTTATGCTATATACAGCACGCCCTCTGCCTTTAATAAGTAAAAACTCACAATCCAAAGTGGTACATTTTTTGTTTCAGTGTGATTATGCCAATCCTATCGTGCCAGTCAAATACGTTAACATGCGACATTTCACGAGGACACCTAATGCCGTTCTGCAAAATTTTGTTAAAACAATAATTTTGCTATTTTTTCACTATTGAACGTTACCAGTTATCAATTAATTCTCGTAAAACTGCTTGTAAGAAAGCTCCTTTTGAATAAGTTCTAAGGGAGGTGGTATAGCCTCGAGTGGCTCGAGACGGAATAGAATATCTTGAAAGGACTTGCTCTGGTCTTCGAATGGACAGGGTACCAGTAAATATGAAGAAGAGAAGGTTGAATCTCACTGAGACCTAATTTCCGACTATTTAGTCTGAGATCTCTTTATTTTTGGATAAGGAAACAGATCGGAGGCCCCTATGCCCTGACTTTTTTTTTTGCTGATTTTGTTGTCTTTTTTTTATATTTCAATGTTTGTAGGCCATCTCTATTAGTAGGATTAGCGCTTACCTTTGGAAACTGTTGTTCTAAAAGATGAGTTTTCGAAAAGAACATCCCACAAGAGTCTCGCAAAGCGAAATAGGCAATCGTAGATGAACGAGGAAATAATAATCTACTCGAATTTCCTTGATTGGCACACTTCAGTGAATTGTATGACATTTTGACTGAAACAGTAGATATCGGTCATAATTTTGTGCAGATTTACATAATTAAGGGAAATTAAGGAAGTAATTCGCTTTTATCTGGCTTCCTGGACATGCTACACTCTTGTTCCGTTCCGATTCATTAGGTAGACCTGATAGCTTGTCTTTTAGAGCTTCATAGAGGCTATCTCGAAGTGTTTTGTTCAGGGAGGGCGGTAATGATATTAGTTCAAAAGCCCACGAGGTATAGTACGGCCCAGGAGATACTGGAGGAATCTGTTCTTACGGTACGACCATGGTGGTGCTGGACCCGACCCTTGGTACTACCCATTTTTCAGTCTGCACGTACGGCAGCCTGAGTGACGGCTTCAGTTAGAAATTTAATTATATATGAACAATCTGACACTTATAAGGTGCAGAGTATACTGGGTGTGGTGCGTTAGGAACGAAATGGTCGCGTCGCGGTGAAAGGGGCGTCGCGCGCGAAGGAATGTAGCAGGATGCAGCAGTAGGTAAGAAATACAAGACTAAAGGTACTAATAGTAGAATTATG